TTGAACCTGGGAGGCAGAGGTTGCAGTGAGCCAAGATCACACCATTGCACTCCAGCCTGGGTGACAAGAGTCAAACTCCATCTCAAAAAAAAAAAAGAAAACCACTTTCTCAGAGTGAGACTTCGTTTGGTAGTGTTATCAGGGAGAATGACAGACAGTGATCGTAAAAGAAAGACTTTTAATTTTTGTGTTTAGCTTAGTTTTAAGTTTTATTAAAATTTTGGTTTTTAAATTAAAAACAAACATTTTGGCTATTAAAATGATCATGCTGTTGACATTTACTATATCTCAAAAATTTTAATTCACAATTTAAAAACATTATGGAAAATCGCTGATAAAAAAGGAGAGGGAATAATATAATGAAACCATTATTGTTCCCAGCTTCCACAGTTAACACATAACCAATCTTGTCTATACTTATCTCTGCATTATTTAAAATCAAACCTATACATACCATTTCAACTATATTCAATATGTATCGCTAAAAAATAAAACCTCTTAAAAAAATACTACCGTATCATTATTAAACCCCCCACAATGAACATTGGCTCCTTATTTTCATCAAATGGCCTATCAGTGTTCAATTTTTTTTTTCTTTTTACTATGTATTTGAAGCAGGATCCAAAGGAGGGCCATCCATTTGCGATTGACATATCTTTTTTTTTTTTTTTTTTGAGATGGAATCTCACTCTGTTGCCCAGGCTGGAGCGCAGTAGCGTGATCTCGGCTCACTGCAACCTCTGTCTCCCGAGTTCAAGTGATTCTTATGCCTCAGCCCCCCGAGTAGCTGGGATTACAGGCGCCCACGACCATGCCCGGCTAATTTTTATATTTTTTGTAGAGACGGTTTCAGCATGTTGTCCAGGCTGGTCTCAAACTCCTGGCCTCAAGTGATCCGCCTGCCTCGGCTCTCCTCGGCCTCCCAAAGTCCTGGGATTACAGGCATGAGCCACCAAGCCCAGCCACAATTGACATTATCTTCTAAGTTCCTCTTTAAAGTAGGATTTGCATCCCTCTTTTTTTTCTTGCTGTTTTATTCTTGAGGAAGAAACCAGGTTGATCTCTGTCGAGTTGGTGCTGTGGGGTTTCTCAGTCTCAATTTTGCATTCCTGTGATGTCATTCATATTAATGTGTGTGGTTGCAGATTGTTTATGTTTCCATAATGAGATGTTTACCCTCGTAAATGACTTGGTTATCCACCAGACATTATGTTAACGTCTCTTCGGTCTTTTTGGTCATCTGAAGCTCATTCTATAGTATATGATACAGAAGGTGCCCACAGGTGCATTATTCCCATATTCCACGAAAGTATATGATTATGAAGGTTAGTTTGATTGTTTATAAAATCCATGACTTACATTTTCTTTCTTTGCATACCTTAGTTACTCTATGGACTTCTGGAAAAAAGCATTGCTGTCACAAAGTCTGATGACAATCTGATTTTCTTTTCCCTACTTGCAATTTGGTCTTTTTTAAAAACCTGGGTGATCAAATGATTTTTTCCCTTTTCTTTAAAGGGTCAGTGTTCCTAGATACGCAGGATACCCTTTCAATGTGTAGTTTCAAGCTGTCTTATTTTAGGAGAGTTCTTTTGAGTTGTTTTTGATATTTGTTCTGTATTACTGCTTTGGTTTTCTTCTTCAGGACCTGCCATTGTAGATGTACCTTTGCTGATCTTCTTTATCACTTTTTCTAAATCACCTTATCTCTTCTTTTAAAATTAGTTTCTTTTTAAATAACAGTTTTATTGAGCAAAATCCTTACACCATGAAATTCACCCTTTTAAAGTATACAATTCAGTGGTTCTTAGTATATTCACAGAGGCATGCATTATTGCCAGTATCTAATTCTAGAACATTTTCAAATTTTAGAAAGAAACGTTATACCCATTAGCAGTCACTCCACATTCTCCCCTATCCCCCACAGCTCCTGGAAACCACTAATCAGTCTGCTTTCTGTCTCTTTGGATCTGCCTGTTATGGACAGTTCATGAACATTTCATGGAATCATTCAGCTGTGTACTGGCTTCTCTCACTTTGCATAATGTTTTCAAGGGTCATCCCTTCATATTGATATTTCTTGTATCAGTGTATTGTTCCTTCTATAGCTGAATGATACCCCATTGTATAGATATACCACTTTTTGTTTATCCATTCATCAGATGAACAGTTCAGTTGCTTCTACTTTTTGGCTATTGTGAATAATGCTGCTGTGAATGTGCAAGTTTTTATTTCTCTCGGGTATATACCTAGGAGTGGGATTGTTGGGTCACGTGGTAACTAATTAGCATTTTGAGGAACTGCCAAACTATTTTTCAAGTGGCGGCACCATTTTACGTTCCCCAGCAAGGTATGAAAGTTCTGATTTCCCATATCCTCACCAACCTTTGTTACTTTTTTATTCTAGCTATCCTAGTGGTATGAAGTGATACCTCATTGTGGTTTTGATTTGCATTCCTCTCACGACTAATGATGTTGAGCATCTTTTCATGTGTTAATACTTATTGGCTATTGTAAGCACTGTGGACACAGTGATGTATCAGATACATGGTTTTGCAAATATTTTCTCCCATTTTGTAGGTTCTCTTTTCACTTTCTTGATGATATCATTTGAAGCCCAAAAGTATTTAATTTTGATTTAGCTCAGTTTACCTACTTTTTCTTTTGTCATTGTGCTTTTGGCTTCTTAACTGAGAAATCATTTCTGAGTTCAAGGACACAAAGATTTACTTGTATGCTTCCTTTAAGAGTTTCATAGTTTTGACCAGGCGTGGTGGCTCACGCTTATAATCCTAGCACTTTGGGAGGCCGAGGTGAGTGGATCACCTGAGGTGAGGAGTTCAAGACCAGCCTGGCCAACATGGTGAAACCCCTTCTCCACTAAAAATACAAAAATTAGCTGAGCATGGTGGTGCATGCCTGTAATCCCAGCTACTTGGGAGGCTGAGGCAGGAGAATCACTTGAACCCAGGAGGCAGAGGTTGCAGTGAGCCGAGATCGTACCACTGCACTCCAGCCTGGGCTACCGAGTGAGACTGTCTCAAAAAAGAACAAAAAAAAAAGTTTCATGGTTTTACTTTCCATTTAGATCTTTGGTACATTTGAGTTAATTTTTCTGTATGACTTAAGGAAGGAGGGATCCAGCTTTGTTTTATTTTTTTTAGTTTTTTTGAGACAAGGTCTCACTCCCATCGCCTAGGCTGCAGTGCAGTGGCGTGATCTCAGCTCACTGCAGCCTCAACATCCTGAGCTCAAGCCATCCACCAAGTAGCTGAGACTATAGGTGCATGCCACCATGCTCAGCTAATTTTTGTATTTTTCATGGAGATGGGTTTTTGCCATGTTGCCAAGCTAGTCTCAAACTCCTGAGCTCATGTGATCCACCCACCTCGGCTTCTCAAAGTGCTGGGATTACAGGCATGAGCCATGGCGCCTGGGCCAGCTTTATTCTTTTGCATATGTATATCTAGTCTTCCCAGCACCATTTCTTGAAAAGACTATTCCTTTCCCATATAATTTTCTTGACACCACAATAACTTTTATGGAATCTGAGATCCTTTTCTTTGCTATTGTCTGCTAGTGAAATGAATTTTTCTCTACTTTTAGGAGGGAGGGAATGGGCAAGGATAGCTTTCCTAGCTCATTTTCTAGGTTAAAGCTCTCTCTTCTCTGGCTTTTGCAAAGTGAAAATACATGTATCTTGTGCTTTCTGAGATGTGCCTTTTCTGCTTCTCTCCACCACTTCTATCTGAACTTTTTGCTTTGTCTCTTTTGTCCAGCATTCTACAACTGGGATTCTATTCCCAGCAGTTTCTCTTCTGTGAGACTTTGTCTTGGAAAGGAACTTTGATTTGTTAATTTTGAGAGTTTATAGCACCCACACTGTACCAGGAGACCTTACTTATACTGCACTGTAGTCTGCTTGCGTTTACAGTTGACCCTTGAATAATGCAGGGGTTAGGGGTGCCAGCGCCCATCCCAGCAGTTCAAAATCCACATATAACTTCTGACTTCCAATAAACTTAACTACTAATAGCCTACTGCTGACCAGAAACCTTACTGACAACATAAACTGTTGATTAACACATAGTTTTTATGTTATATGAAGTATATACTGTCATCTTAAGGGCAAGCTAAAGAAATGAAGATGTTAAGAAAATCATAAAGAAGAGAAAATATATTTACTATGCATTAAGTGGATGTGGATCATCATAAAGGTCTTCATCCTTATCATCTTCACAGTTGAGTAGGCTGAGGAGGAAAAGAAAGAGGAAGGGTTGGTTGTGCTGTCCCAGGGGTGGCAGCGGCAGAAGAAAATATAAGTGGATCTGTGCAGTTCAAACCTGTATTGTTCAAGGGTCAAATGTATTTATAAACGGAATTGTGCCAAACTGTCTCCTAGTTTTTGCTGCTGTTCTCAGATTGGCCCACCACACTGTCCAGTGAGCATCTGCTATGACTGAGGTTCTGTTCTCCACCTGTCAGAAGTTCTTGTGCCTTCCTTCATCTTCTTCCCACACAGATACTGATACCATGCAAGTCTTGTAGTTGTCAGAGGTTTGTTTCCACCTGATTTTATTTGGAAGTTTGTTTCCTGATTCTGCTGTAGATGCTGTCTGTGAATCTTTGCTCTTCCCGCCCTCATTGCTTTAGCTGAGTTTATGGGGAGATCTAGAGGAGATTTAAAAAGTACACGGCTATTGCTGTTATCTTCCCAGAATCTTCTCATTGACAGATGTTTTTGAAGCATGTTCTATTTCTTTTTTTAAGCAGTATGGCATCTACAAGTTAAAAGGAAAATGCAATCAATAGTTGATTCTTAGTTTATAATACCAGGTAATTCTGTAGTGAAACAAATTATAGGAACTTTTTCTCGGCTGAGTTAAATATCATAAAATGTTATACTTGTTGAATGTATGTCTTTTTTTAACAGTGATAAGTAGTTTAATGATTTGTATGTCATATATGGACTATGCTAAAAATCAACTTTTCTCCTTCAGAATAACAAGCCTTTGTATTCATTTGAAGATAATGCAGACTATGTTTATGATGTTATGTGGTCACCTACCCACCCAGCCCTGTTTGCCTGTGTGGATGGCATGGGGAGATTGGATTTGTGGAATCTCAATAATGACACAGAGGTGAGCAGGAAAATAACAAAAATTGCATTGAAAAATAGAAAATTGGATATTTATTGAATAATTTGCGAAATTCCTTTTATTCCAAAGGATGTAAAAGGGCTCTGTGATTGTAGCTTCATCACAAAGAACTCAAATAAGCTTTGTACCCTAAATAATAAACAGCATGCTGTGAAGAACTAAAGGGAGAAATAATGTTGACAGGAGTACTGGGGCATTTCCTTTTACTTCTGAAAAGCACTATCATGTCTCTAATGTCCTGGCAAAGTCTCATTCATAAGATAACTGGGATATTTTTCATTCATAGGCTAGCAGGCAGATAGTTTCAGACTGTTGAAGTATGTTAACCTTAATTCTGAATTTCTAAATTATCTCTTAGCCTTGATAGCATTATATATCATCCATAAACATTAATCTTAGCCTGATTTGTTTGAAGGAAGGAAAAATGTATTTTGATTTTTGATGAGTTTTTTTTCCATGAAGGATTGAAAACAGAGTATTACTATAAAATGAATATAGAAACTGTCAAATTTCCTAATTGCTGTACTAAAATCACTTATTAGCAATTAAATTTAATTGCAACTCTTATTTATTTTTAGTCACATGTATTCTTACCAGCTTAGAGAAGCTTAAAATGTTCTTAGAATTCTTTTATATTGCTATTGGTAATAGAATTAATATTAGTATTTCTATCAATAACAATTGTTGAGAGAGAGTCAACTCATATCTCCCACATCTCTTCCTAGTTACCTAGAATGGTACCAATTCTGTTTTATTTGGATTTCAGTCTTAGAGATTTGAGGTTACAGTTAAATGTGGATTGAAATGTAATATTTCTTTATAACTATTTTGGTATTCTGTGTATGGGGTTAAATTATTTGGGGATGACTAATACAAAGGATTTTTTTGTCAAATTTCAAAAATTTTTAAAAATTTTATCATACTTTTAGTCTGAATCAAACACTGAATGTTTGCTCCATGTGTAGCAAATAAAACTCTTCTTCCTTAGCAAAGAAGAGGCACAGTCAGATTCCAGGGAGCTGGTGCCATTGTTTTGGTGCCATCATCCTGGCTCTCTCCCGCTAGCTCATGGAACAGGAGGCTTTAGACAGACTCATACTGCACCTTCAGTATGAACTGTTTCTAGGAACAATGAGTCAAATACAGGTTTCAGCTGATAGAGATACACGCTACACAAGTGATTCCTGTCCTCTACAATCAAACCATAATCTGTTTATGAGGGCTTTTGAAGTGTTTTCTTTTTAAATGGGTTTTGGCCATGTGTTTTCAAACAGCTTGACTTCTTAAAGACATTAAAACAACAAAAAAGGACTCTTTATTAAGAGAAGACCTTTCAAAATAATGTGTCTAATCTTCTGATAATTTTTTATACAAGGACTTACTTTTGCAAACAATTTTCAAGGATTGACTATAATGTCATTCATAATATGTCACTGAAGAAGAAAAAAGTTGGGGAAATTCTTTATTTTCATCTTTGTTTTTAAAAATGTAGCCAGATTGAGAGAAGAATTACTGTTTTACATGTTTATAGAAATCTTGATGAAACTTTTAACACTGTCCTTTATTTTAAATGACTTTAGGTACCAACTGCCAGCATTTCTGTGGAGGGTAATCCTGCTCTTAATCGTGTGAGATGGACCCATTCTGGCAGAGAGATTGCTGTGGGTGATTCTGAAGGACAGATTGTTATATACGATGTGGGAGAGGTATGGGACTCCCTGCCTATAATTTTGACACATCTATTTAGTTGCGTTGTAGTAAAGGCATCTTTGTGGCTAACCCTAGGCTTTGAGGTTTATGAGTTGTATAAACTATATCGTTGTAAAGATAAAATTCACTTTCTACCACAGAAGCAACTCTTGAAATATTTTCTTTCTAAACCGAATGGTCTGTCTCCCATGCAACAGATTTTGAGGGTAATATAATAAATACATTGAACGTACCTTGTTTCTTGAAGCATGCATTGCTGGAAATTAGAAATTCTTTGGGGAGAAGTTTGGAGTTATAGGTGGACTTTGGGGTTTTCTTGATATTGAAATAAGATTTATTTTTCTGTATTCATTAATTTGAGCCAAGTAGTAGAAACCAAAAGTAATATCTGCTACTACAACTGAAGAACTGAATTTTTAATTTTAATTAATTTTAATGTAAATAATCACATGTGGCCAGTAGCTACCCTACTGGATAGTGTAGATTTAGAAGCAGGCACAGCCATTTGCCACAGTGAGTGGTTTGTGTCCTAACATGACAGTGTCAGACTCCTATGATATTATAATGGCAGTTATCGAAAATATTTGTTACTGGGGCCGGCCACAGTAGTTCACACCTATAATCCCAGCACTTTGGGAGGCTGAGACAGGTGGATCACCTGAGGTCAGGAGTTTGAGACCAGCCTGGCCAACATGGCAAAACCCCATCTCTACTTAAAATACAAAAATTAGCCAGGTGTGGTGGCACATGCCTGTAATCCCAGTTACTCGGGAGGCTGAGGCAGGAGAATCACTTGAACCTGGGAGGCAGAGGTTATAGCGAGCCGAGATCATGCCACTGTACTTCAGCCTGGGCAACAGAGTGAGACTCTGTCTCAAAAAAAAAAAAAATTTGTGTATATATATATATATATATATGTATATGTAGCTGCCTCTATGAAGTAAAGCATCACAAGCCTCTTTTGCCACCGGTGCAACACTAAAGCAGTGAATAGTAGCATAGCTTTTGATGAAGGAGTTAGGGTATCAAGAAAGATTACCTTATGTTCCAAACAAAAATACAAGAAACCAGCCCCCTTATGAAACCATGCTTCAAACATTGTTTCTTACAGAAAAAAACTCAGTTATTTACTGTATGCAAGAATACAGTAAAAAAAATTTTAAGGAATTCCTCTCCAGCAGAATCCATGAGATGGTGCATAGGAGTTATATTTACAAAGCATCATTGTTATTCTCTCTTGGATTGGTGGTGATAATAGCCAAGTCATTTCTGAGGCTGTCACAACACACTTCACAAACACCGTCTTTTGTTTTGAAATGTTGTAAATCATTGTTATAGTCCCCGTAATTATGGAAAGGCCATTCAGGTCAATTATTACTTTTTAACAGAAAAATTATTTGAAAACAAACTGAATAATAGTGGGTAAAATGATCTTTTATTTCATTGTATATAAAACATTGTCTTTCTTTTAATAGCAGATTGCTGTTCCCCGCAATGATGAATGGGCACGGTTTGGCCGAACACTTGCAGAAATAAATGCAAACCGAGCTGATGCAGAGGAGGAAGCAGCTACCCGAATACCTGCTTAGTTCCTGAAAAGGGGAGTGTAACTAGTGGATTTGGGAAAGGTTCTTAAGTAGATCCCAAGATTATTTGCATGCTTCTATCTAAATGATAATTAAAAGGAAATTTCATGGATTAAACCATGGGTTTAATGCAGTAAGGCGACTTACAATGTCCTTTTATATATAACATGCATCTTGTTTTGGATTTGTGTCATTTTTTAATATAGCTCATTGACTTCACAGAAAGCAGCTTTTTTGAATTCTAATACACAGGTGTATATTTGGTATTATTTTGAATTCTTTTCAACTTATAACACTGTATACAGTTATTTCTAAAGCACAGATGAAATAAGTTCTGCATATTTTTAAATGATCACGGTTCCCTATGACACAGATAATGTTCTCACTACCCATAATATATAGGAACATTGTTTCTCATTGGCCGTAGTATGCATACACCTATCCATGTTCCATTCTGACATCCTTTGTTGTCTTTATAATTCATGTGGTAGTTACCTATAAATAAAAACAAATATGCGTTAACTTCTCAAATTTTCATTTTTACTCCTTACAACTTGAATTTTTCCATCTTTTATAAAATATATTTTTTCCATATCTTTCTTTAAGCTCCTGCTGTAAGCAGCCATCTCAAAGCTGTGTGCTCTAAATATACCATGTGGTATATACTATAGATCTCCCAGTGCATTGTGAATTGATGTCTAGATAATCTGTTGGTGAAAAAATTTCCCCAGGTTAACTTTTGTTTTACTACTTTATATTCTTTCCATCTAAGACATATTTCCTTTAAAGGATAAATAGAAGGCTGCCTATAATTTTCACTGATTAAGAACTATGTATGTGACCTCACTGAGAGTAAAACCTTTGAGAGAAATTGATTTCATAATTTCAGTAGCCATAAAGGCAAAGTGCTCAGATGGACCATACTTTGGCATTAAAATCTACATCTTGAGATCTGTTGCCACAGCATTGTCTACAAGTCAGAAAGGTAGGTGACAAATATCTAAGAATTAGTATTGAAATCAGTGAATTTCAGGAATAGAGGAAAGGACTATGATCAGATCTTGATTTTGTCTACTTTAAATTGTAGATTTACTTGATCCCAAACTTTTGTACTTCTGAAGTGTAACTGTCTTTTATTCAACAGAACATGAACTAGGAAGAAAGATTAGAAATCAGAATTTGAACATTTTTCTTTCAATAATTGTAACAAAGATTTGTTGGGAGAGAAATTTCCAAATAATAAGTAGTGTATAGTGTAAGGAATAATTGACTTGGAATTATTGGCCCCAAACTCTCATTCTTGCTGAAGCACCTATGAGAAGTGTGATTTTAGCCAAGTCTGTGCCTCATTCTTTATATGTGGGAATTAAGTTTTGATTTAATGATTTCTGAATTTTCTCTCAGCTCTCCTCAGTTATGGGGTATCAATATATGAAACTGAATATAGAAAAGTAGGCAATTCTTTGCTTTTCTGTATTCAGTTTCATAAATTGATACCCCATAATTGCCCATTATATACCAAAGACAACATCTCAATTTATCTCATTGTAGCAGTGTCTGTGAGTCAAATCTTCAATTTTAGCAGTCACACTGTCTTTATATAGAAAAATTCATGTACTCACTACTCATGTAGTTACTGTATCTCTACCTTCAGTTTGTAAAAATGACTAAAAGTAGGGAAAACAAGTGTTAAAATATAATGGACAAGAAAAGGTTGGAAATCCTATATCAAATCAGATGTTCCTCAAACTCCAGGTGTTGTGTTTAGTTGTGAAAGAAAGAATAAAATTGTTTAAATGTTTCACTTTTTGGGAATGACTTCTCCCTTTCTCCCCCAGAAAATGCGATGTATACCTTTGCCCATTCAACTTTAGTCTGTATTTTTAGGAACATACAAATTTACTTTAAGGAATTACCTTAAGTTGACTATATGATAGCAAAAGAGAAAGTATTGAGACTGTCAGTGTGGATATAGAAGCTTGGATTAGGTTGACTAGAAGTGCATCACAGTTCTTTATACTTTTAGAACTAAAAGGCTTATAATTTTGAAAAATATCCAGTTACAGAAATTGCACCTTATCAGTTGTACTTTTTTTCTGAGTAAGAAAACAAGCTGTAGCTTTCTGGTTAATTTCTTAATTTTTGTTGTTTGGTTTTTGTCTTTTTGAATGGAACATTAAAGTTTATTACCTTTATGTTAAGGAATATCCAGCTTCACAGACAATTAACTTGCAATAAATCTCTGAAATAATCATTTTTTGGTATTTAAACCAAATATTCATTGGTAGAAGCTTTCTTCCTATTTACAGATCCAGTTCCCTATAAAGTTTAGAAAGTCTCTTTATATAAAATGTTGTTACAATAATGCTGAAATACTGCATCTCGAAGGAATGGATGACTTAAAATTTAGTGGGAGGAACTATAGGAAAGTAGTTTTAGGAATGATTGGTCCTAGTCTTTCAGTGTTGTTAGAATGTTTTAGTCTGTTCTGTACTAGTGTGGATAGACTGTAATATCCACCCCTTGAACCATACAGAAAGACTTGAATGGATGAGTGAAAATCTGCTGTGAAGCATATCATACTATTTTTCCTTATATTGAGTAGTGCATTATTTTTAAGTCAGAAATCCAGTAGGGTTTTTTTTTCCCTAAAGCGCTGTCATAAATTTCAGTGGTCACCCGCCACTCACTAGGCAGTGCATTTTTAAATGTCTTTTCCACAACCCCAGCGTTTCAACATTGATATTCTAATAGTTTTCTAAATGAGAAGACTGTATAATTAAATGTATGCTAAAGAGAATGGAGCTCCAAGTGCAGCTCCAGATGCTGCTTATCATCTAGGGTGCTGGTGTCATGTCTCAGTCTTCAGGATAAGCTAAGGTTAAATAGCCAACAGCTTTGCTTCTTCTTGATGATTTAGTGATGGGGTTCCCATTGAGTTTTGTTTTTAATCCAAGCTACACAGCAACAAGAAAGGAGTTCTTGCTTTCCCGATACCATCTTGCTGATTGCTAGGCCAGCAGTCCCCAACCTTTTTGGCACCAGGCATCAGTTTCAAGGAAGACAATTTTTCCATGGACCAGGGAGGTTTGGGAGGTGGTTTCGGGACCAAACTGTTCCACCTCAGGTCACCATCAGGCATTATTAGATTCTCATAAGGAAGGAGCTCACACAACCTAGATCCCTAGGATGGGGAGCTCAGGTGGTATTGCTCACTCGCCCGCCTGCCTGCCACTCACCTCCTGTTACATGGCCTGCCATGGATCACTGCTGGTTCTGGTTTGCAGCCCAGGGGTTGGGGACCCCTTTGCTTGGCAACTTAAGGACCTTACAGGTTTGAGGAACAGTCACTCCCAACTTGGACCTTATCATTTACTAATTAAAAATTATTGATGCTGTGAAATTATTTACTTAGAGATCTGGCTTACAAATCTAGGGGCTCCTAACGCTGTCAAAGAATTGGAAATTGCCCCAAAGGCAATATTAAGAGAACAGCCATTTTCAGTATTTCTTTTGAAGGGGAAGATTACAATTAGGAACATTCTTTTAATCAAGTTTTTCAAAAGTTTTACAGCCCCCAAATGGTAGTAATTTGCTTGTACTGTATTACATTTTGTAAATCCTTTTCATAAATAGGAAACATGTTATGGAGTCCATCTTAAAGAAAAATCCTACACTGCTAACCAGAATACCAACTATAAGACTTGGAATTCCTCACACTGGAATGCTTTTCACAATAGGCCAGTTCTCTCATTCCTTTTGTTGGACTTTAGGTATTTAGATTGTCTTTCTGCCTGCCATGTTCACAATTCCCAAACTTCTAAAAGTTCAAATGGATGGCAGGTATTTTAAGTTTTCAGTATGTAGCTTTTAGCCACTGATAGTTTCCACATAGCCAATCAGCAGACTTTTACAAACTTTTATAAAATTATGGTATTTTGTGTTGTTAGTTTCATAGCAGGAATCCCAGTTTTGGCTTCTTAATATTCCATTACCAGTTCCCAGTCAGAGGACGGAACAGCTTGCACTCAGGTAAGCTTTCTGAAAGGTCTGTTTCACTTTGTGAGGTCACTTATTCAGGTCTCTGGTAATGTATTATCCTGCCTCTCTTATAATGTACTTGATTTGGTCAGAAAGCTGTGGGGCGGTGATTGTATAGATGTAGAACACACCTGCGTTGGGCCGAACATGCAGAGACCTGACACTGTGGCTCCTGAAATCAGGTATGCCAGTGGTAAGACTTTGATAGCAGTAATTTTATCTTTTGTGAATTTTTGTACTAGGTTTTTGTTTTTTTTTTTTTTCTGAACAAGGTAATGGAAATGCATTGAAACAAAATTTCTTGTATTTAAGAGTGGCTTGGTATATAAGAGAAAGAACACTACGCACAAAAGACCCAAGTTCTATTCCTGATTTCCCCCATTTCTAATAATGTAATCTAGGACAAGGGTAAGTATTATCATCTTTTAAATGAGGAAAATATTTGCTTTCTGTGACAATTATGTGAGAAAATGTATATGTGAAGGCCTTTGTAAATTATATTACAAAGTACTATACAAATAGATTTTATTTTTCATTTTCTTTTTAAGAATACAAGAATGGAGAGAGACCATCTGTGTACCCCTCTGTGCAATGTAACGAGCTCAGGATAAAGTGGGTTGGTGTTTAAGAAATTATTTTTTAATTCTAGGAAATCACATAACTTAAACCCTCAGCAGAATCCTCAGGTTTTCAGGAGTAGCAGTGAACTGAGAAAAATACCAATTGCTTTTAATCAGTGATATTTTTTCTAGGAATGTTTTATTACATTCTATGATAAAGTTACAGATTATGCTTAGTTGAAAAAAAATGACCTACTCTGAATTTCTATCGTAGACTCAGCTGTTGCTCTTCTGTTAGTTATATACAGAACATCGACTGTGGTATCTGGAGCCTGTGAAAAGGGGAAGTGGAACTCCTTTTTTGAATCAATGAGAGAACAAACTTGGTTCAAGACTACACAGTTACATAGTGGCAGAACCGGAATCAGTCACTTCTCTATAAATCTAGGAACAACAGCTATTCAGCTGTTACACTCTTTACATAGTACTTCTCCCTTCCCTAGGGTTAGTCCCCTTGGAAATAATGTGTGCTCATGTGAGAAGATGATCACTAAAAGGAAGACCTTTGTTCCTTAAGGAACTGTGTATTGGCTGTCAGGCTTACAGGACACCGAGATCAGTCCTGCAGAAATAGCTCTTACCTGCTTCTTATCTGGATTGGCAGGTAGGGATCTCTCTTACTGTATCCAAAATGTGATTTCCAGAAACAAGGCAAAACCTGATATAATAAATACCCACTGAGGAAGAAACGTGGTAAAATGACTAGCCCCTTATTTATGGGCCTCATTTCTAATAATGTTTGATATAGTCATGAATTTGTCAGTACTTTAAGGGTTCTTAAATGGATTTAAAGGAAACTTCATTTTCTAGAGGTAAAAGAAATGATGAGCCTTATTTTTCCTCAAACTCAGGAGTTACTTAAGTTGTATTTGTATCAAGAAAAAATGTTTATTTTGTGCTAAAAGTCCAATAAGGAGTAATACAGTGTGATGCAAAGAAGACTGCCCCTGAGTTTCCTGCTCCTCATCTTAGACAAATTCTTCATCTCTCTAGACCTTCCCCCTCTTTGCTGTAAAATGAGTGCTGCAGTATCAGCATTACCAGGGAATAACTGGAATAATACATTCATGTAGATCAGATGCCCCAAAATGCTAAATGAATGTTAAGAAGATGTGGTTTAATTGGAATTACATCAACTGAGAGGAAATAATTGACTCCAAATATTAATATTTAGTTGGTAGATTAGCCTTTTCAAACATGATAGTCTTGAAATTTATATTTCTAGTTCTAACAGCCTTGAATTTTTAAGAGTCAACTTGTGTTGAAACTCAGTTAACCATGTCTTTGGGCAAATGTTTTCACCTCTCTAAGCCTATTCTTTCATCTACCACTTCTCAAAGAAGTTATGAGAATTATACCCGAATATATGTGAAAATGCATGCTAATCTATGAAGCACCATACAGGTATGAAGCACTGGTATTATGGAAGGTGAACCTTCAACAGGTTCAGTATCTGATCTTCAGTAGCTCCTGTAAGCTTTGCAGGCTCTGTCTCCTGGCTGTTAGCGGTTAAAAACAGGCTCCTAGAAGTTCAGGTATCTTTGCTGACACAGCTGCTTTACCACACAAAGCCTTCCTGACCAGTTGGGATTCACTGATAATCTTTATCTTAGCTTTTATATTCTGCTTTTGAAAGAGAGCCCTAAATCAGTATAAGTTTCAAAAAAAAAAAAGAGATGGGAGTGATATGAGAACCTACTCAAAGATCTTTTACCATTACTTTATACTTAGTGGAAATGTACAGCTGTTTCTAAAGTTACCATTTCCTCTGCCTTACAAAGAACTGGCCTGTGTACATTCTGACCATGTAGTAGTAATAACTGCTGCTATTTACTGAGCATGTATTAAATTATATATATATATACACACACACACACACACACACACACACACAGATGTGGGAAATATGATTGCTAATTTACAAAAGAGGAAACTGGTGTGTAGCCAGTTTGCATGATGTAGATGTTCCCACCATGGCCAATTGCAAACAACAAATGTAGTATCAATGAAAATGGAATTGGGAAGATACACACACATAGTGGGCCCTCACTGGACTGGTACAAGCCAGGTCCAGCATATCCCTGGGACTAGGGGCATTAAGCGAGTCATAGTTTAGGAACTAAACACAAAGTCTTGATTTTAG